GGCTCTTTAGTAGGAGGCACTTTAGTAGGTACTTTAGTAGGTACTTTAGTAGGCACTATGCTACTAGCGTTATCGTTGCTAGCGCTACTAGCGGTAGTACGGTTGTTGTTACTTCGTAATAAGCCGGCTATTATAATAGGGGGTAATACTAATAATATATTATAGGCCCCTAAGATGCGGATATAGCGGAATTAGTAGATATCGGCTTAGTGCGATTAATTTAGTATAATAGGCCGTATAGAAGGCCTTGCTTAATAATTGGTACGGTTGTTTCGATAGAATAGTACGTATAGGTCCCGTTCTTCGGGCGCAATATAGTTAGATTAACGATTTTCGTAGCTATACCGCTAAAAGCTTAAAATAAGGACTATCTAGCTGCTGCCTTCAAAGGGTAGATCGAATACTATATTAGAAGGGTTATATTAGCAGGTAGATAGGGTAGTAGTAGGTATAGGTAGTATTCGATAGAGATCTAAGAGGAGAGGGAGGAAGGCAGGCTAGTTAGCCTAACGCTAAGCGCTAAGCCCTACCTAAGGCATTAAGACCCTAGCTTTACTCGAGCCTAGTTATATACTAATTACGTATAACCTCTTTAGTCCTAATATCTATAAACGATTAACTATCCCTATTTGCAAGGTTATTTAACAGTACCCTCGCTATTAAACGAGGTACGTATTATATATATCTAATAGCACTAGTAGCCGGATTAACTATATTAGTGCTTTAATCGCTATTACTATATATAGCGATATCGACTAGGGAGTTATTATAACTTCTCCTATCTATATCCTTAGCCCTTGCCTTAATACGCACTATTAATATAGCAAGAGTATTAATATGCTTCGAGCCGTCGTAGAGTCCGGTAAGCCGCTTATCCTACGCTTGCTTATTAATAATACGGGCTATAGCGATCTTATGCTATAGGGTTAGAAACAAAGAATTAATGTATTAGGTTTCGCTATCGTAATTAGGTCGCCTCGATAGGCTATTAGTAGGGTTACTTACGCCTAGCCGATATAATATATTAAAATCGAACCTAGCGAGGTAGACGGCCTATCTAGCCTATCGACCTACAACCCTTGTAACCTTCGTAATCCTATAGAGGTTGTTATAGTCCGTATAGACCTAAATAGTATGCTATGTACTATCGAGACAGTAGCGCTAGTGCTTAAAGGCTTCTACGATTGCTAAGAGCTCTTACTCGTAGGTCTCGTAACGACGCTCTATATCGATTATCTTTCGTAAGAAGAAGGCAATTAGGTGCTAGTAGGTATTATTAGCCTGCTATAACATAATAGCGGATATAGCGAACTATAAAGCGTTAGTCTTAATACGGATCTACCTACTTAGTACGAAATAGTATAATAAGGGGACTTTAGTAAAGCGTTACTTTAAACCGTTAAAAGCGGCCTATACTCTATTAGTCTATTTAAATTCTCTAGTCGGGTTAGCCTTGGTTTTAGTAAGCTTAGTTAGGGGCATTATATGCCGTAAATAGCCCTTAATAAAGCGACGATAGAAATTAGCGAAGCCGAGGAACGATTAAAGCTCTTTAATACTAGTAGGGGTTAGCTACTCGGTAATAGTCTTAATCCGCTTAGGATTAGCCTTAATACCCTTAGTTAATACGAGGAAGCTAAGGAAGGGCACCTCTTTAGTAGCAAAGGTGCATTTAGAAGGCTTGTAATATAAGCTATAGGCCCGTAGGCGGTCGAGTACCTTGCGTACGGCGGCCTAATATTCCGCAATGTTAGGTAAGTATATACAGACTAGGATATCGTCTAGATAGACTACGTAGAGGTAGTCTAATAGGCCTAATAGGGCCTAATTAATATAGGACTAGAATGTTATAGGGGTATTAGCTAGGCTAAATAGTATAACTAAGTACTTAAAATAGCTATAGCGAGTATAGAAGGCTGTCTTCTATTTATCGCCCTTACGAATACAAATGCGGTAATAGGCGTCCTTAATGTCTAATATAGTATAGAAGTAGGCGCTAGAAAGGCGATCGAGGGTCTTATTAATAAGCGGAAGTAGATAGCGGTCTTTAATAGTAACAGCGTTAAGCCCTCTATAATTAATATACAAACGTAGGCTACTATCCTTCTTTAGCACGAATAGGATAGGTGCACTAGTAGGGCTGTTGCTGTACTAAATCCGACTATTAGCTAGGTTCTTATCTAGGTACTTACGCAATATAGCAAGCTCTCGCTTACTAAGATTATAGAGGGGCCTAAAGGGGACCTCTTTACCCTCTATAATATTAATCTTATAATCCGTCTCTTTAAATATAGGCAGTATCGATGCTAGGTAGTGTTTAAATATATTAATATAGGTCTCTCGAACAGGCTATAGTATACGAGCAAGCTAATTAGGGTCTATACTATTAGGGGGCACAGGCTCGTCGTTATCTCCTAATAGGTCGACTATTAGGTTAGCTAAAGCAGAGGTTAGTATTAGGTTGCTAATAAACAGGACCCTAATATCGTTAGGGCACTCGCTAGTATTAATGTGTTTAATATCCTCTTTCCTAGCGATTCTAGACCGGTATTGTTAACTGCCTAAGTCTATAGCGATAGCATAGTGCTTAAGAACAGGGTTGCTAATAACAATAGTAGCTCCTCTATGTAGGTTGTCTATATCTACTACGTAGGCCGTAAAGTCTAGTAGGCGTTCATTTCCGAGGTCGTCCTTTAGAACTATAGGAATACAGTAGGCCCTACAGGTTAAGTGCCGAGCGTTATTAAACTAAGTAAGGGTTAGCAGGTTAGTTCTAGGCAATTGTCGAAGGTCTAATTGCTTAGCTAGGCGATAGCTAATAAGGGCACTAACTAAATTTCCTAGGTCTAGTATAACCTTAGTCTTATAGTTAGTTCTATATATATCCTATATAAGGCAGTTACGTATAATAGCTAGCATAATGTCGATAGTCTTACGCCGTATAAGGCTAACAGTTAGTGCGGCGCTTATTCTTTTTTCGACTAATAAGAAGGTTAGCCTATAGGGGTAGCGTTAGCTGCTAAAAGGTGCTTTCGGTACTTAGCGGTAGTACGGTCGATTTAGGTCTAATCCTTAGGTTTGTCGCATTAGCCTAGTAGATAGCTAATACTATTACAATTGAAGCACTTCAATCCGGTTAGAACATTGCCGTAGCTATTGTTGTTAGTTAAGCGGTTAGCGTTATAAGGATACGAGCCCCTTCTACGGCCCCTATTATAGCCTCCTCTATATAGCGGTCGGCTACGGCCTCTTCTACGGTCGTTGTTACTATTCCTATTATTAGCATTGTTATTCTAGTAGGACCCTTAGCTATTGCCTCTATAGGCACTACGATTGCCGCGGTTAGTGCTAGCTAGTCGGATCCTCGATTCTAGTCGTTACTAGAGCTAAATAGCCCGTTCGGCTGTTTCTACTTCGACTATAAATTAAATGCGTATTAGATTAGCTTGTTCGAATATACGGCGGCGGTCTAATTCGAGGATAAGCTTCTACCTAAGTTTTAGGCGTATCTTAGAGATCTATATAGAATTAGTCTTAGCCGGAAGGTCGTCTTCTAGGGTCTTTAAATAGGCCTCGAATAAGCGAGCCGATTAATTAGTCTTTTGCTTAGCTCGAAGGTACTAGTCCTAAGCATATTGTTGCCTTAGAATAGGGTTTCTAAGGGTATCTAGTATAATAGTTTTATAGGTCTGCTACTAAATAGTAGTCTAGTTATTAAGGGAGTCGAAATAGTTATCCTAGGTACGCTTTAGGTCTCTATTAATATATTGTATAGCATAGACGACTAACGAATAGTCGTCTAGAAGGGCCCTCGGCGCATTTCGCTAGTTAAGCTTATAGTCGCGAATATAGTCGTTATATTACTTTCGGCTAGAGCTATTAAATACGGTATAGTCCTTAAGTTTAGCATCCTTCTTTTAGACTAAACTAGGTAGTAAGGAAGGCCCTGCTATCGGCTTAGTATTAGTTGTTAGGGCCTCCTATAGGCGGCGAATTTCGAGGAGGTTGTCCTTTAGCTATTATTCTTAACGTAAAGTAGCGAGCCTGTTTTAGGTAGCTTCTTAAAGTCTCGCTACTAGCTAGGGGCTAAAGGCTAGTTAGCTATATCGACGGTTAACAATATTACTTAGAATGTCGTTAATAGGCAATTCTAGGTTGTTACCTAGAACTATAGGTTCTTCGGTAGGCCTAGTAGTAGGCTCTTTAGTAGGAGACACTTTAGTAGGTACTTCGGTAGGTACTATGCTACTAGTGTTGTTATTGCTAGCGCTACTAGCGGCGCCGCGGTTATTATTGTTATTGCTTCGTAATAAGCCGGCTATTTTAATAGGGGATAGGGCTAATAGTATATTATAGTCCCTTATAGTACGGATATAGCGGAATTAGTAGATATCGGCTTAGTGCGATTAACTTAGTGTAATAGGCCGTATAGAAGGCCTTGCTTGATAATTGGTACGGTTGTTTTAGTAGAATAGTATATATAGGTCCCGCTCTTCGGGCGTAATATAGTTAAATCGATAGTTTTCGTAGCTATACCGCTAAAAGCTTAAAATAAGGACTATCTAGCTACTGCCCTTAAAGGGTGGATCGAATACTATATAAGAAGGGTTATATTAGCAGGTAGATAGGGTAGTCGTAAATCAGTGTAGTATTCGATAGAGATCTAAGAGGAGAGGGAGGAAGGCAGGCCAGTTGGCCAAACGCCAAGCGCCAAGCCCTGCCTGAGGCATCAGGACCCTGGCTTCACTCGGCCCAGTCACATGCCAATCACGTGTAGCCTCTGACATAATATACGAAAACAGGGTCTTAGCGGGAAAGAAGTAATTGCCCTAGCTCGCTCAAACTAATCTGTTAGCAGAATACAGACTACCAACGCATCGACAATATCGGGAAATCGGGGGCTACTTCGACTCGAGGCCGAGCAATGCCTGTCGTGCATCCCTGCGCTTCCATGACCACGCCACATCCATACGAGCAAGGGCATTGGCTGCCATTCTGAGGCCACTGCACTTGTTGCTCAAGCGATGGCGGTGACGGCGAGGGCGAGGACGAGGACGAGGACGAGGAGATGATCGAGAAGGCGGCGGCGGCGGTGGCGGCGGCGGCAGAGCGAAGGACGATGCCAACGCGCTGATGGATGCATCAAGCAGCGCCAAGCACCAGCTCTTCCCCGTGCGCGACATGGACTTGCTGCACCACTACACCGCCTGCACCTACCAGTACATGACCGACCTGCCGCAGCACTATGCCGTGTGGCAGGTCGTTGTGCCGCGCCTGGCGTTTCAGCATCCCTTCCTGCTCCACGGCCTGCTCGCGGCCAGTGCCCTCCATCGCCACCACACCGCCGAGCCCGCGCAGAAACCGAATCTGATGAATCTGGCGCGATACCATCAACAACATGCCTTGACGCGCTACATCCCGCTGCTGCAGTCCATCGACGACGAGAACTGCCACGCCCTCTTTGCCTTCTCCGTGTTGCTGGGAGTCCTCTGCTACAGTCTGCTCCACGAGGATGAAGAAAACGAGCAGCCCCTGGCCGTTCGATTCATGGACGTCTTCGACTCGCTCGGCGGCGCTGTCGTCGTGGCCAGAGTCGCGACCCAGTGCTTGCGCGATGGACCCCTGGGCCCCATCATGCACCCATTGACGCCCGTGATTCGCGACTTCAGCGTGCTGCATCCGGGCATGGCCGCCGCTCTCGAAAGGCTCTTGGAGTGCGCCGACCAAGTCTATCGCGACGCCTCATCGAAAGCTGGCTTGGACGCCACGCAGAGACGGAATGCCTATCACAATGGCATCTACGCCATCTCCACTGTCTTATCACCAACGAACTACCAAAATCGCAAGCTGACCACCGTGGTCAGCTGGTCGATTATCGCCGGACCTGACTACCTTGCGCTACTTCGTCAACGAGATGCACTGGCTGTTGTCATTCTCGGGCATTACGGGGTCGCGCTGCATCAGCTGCTCAATCCGCTCTGGATATTGGAGGGCCTAGGCAAGCGCTTGACTGATAGCGTGATCGGCGAGGTCGACGAATGCTGGCACGACGTCCTTGCTTATGCCAAAGCACAAGTCGACCAACCCGTGACTCCTGCTCAGCCGAAGACATGAATTTCAGTCGTGCCTGATATTGACTACATACCGAGTGTCCCACGCTGGTCTCTGTCGTTGCTGACTGGCACAGCATCGACTGCCTGATTTCTTCCAACTCCAAAGATTGGATTATCCATCCTTTCCTCATCAAAGCCTGGCCACTCTACCCTTCCTTTCTCCTCCGCCACCGACACGCTCGTCACGAGCACTGGAAATGACATGGGAGCGAAAGCGAAATCTGTGCTGCAACAAGTGCTGGCAGCGTGGCAGCGGCATGTGGTACCTATACTACTACATACACAGGCCAAAACGGCCCAAAGCAGGATTCTTACTTGACCAGCATGGTCGTGTGATTCGTGGTCGACAACCGGAGCGATCGGGTCACAAGACAAACCCAGTGAGTCTAGTTTCGGGTACATTGTTGTTCACCACGCACCCGGGTCATTATTGTGCTGGCACTGCTGGAACAGCTCTGTGTGATGAGTGATGTCGCCTTTCCATCTCTGATGATGAAGCTACCCTATGTTTGTCCCGCGCTTGGCCACGATCTCGCGTGCAAGACATCCAGAATCAGGCCAAGTGTGCGCCTGCGTCGTGCCATTATTGGCAGGCGTCAGTCTTCAGGAAGCTCCCGATGAAGATGGTGACATGGTGCTTCGACAGCGATGCGTGCGGGCCCAAAGTCAACTTAATAATAAGTGCGGAGAATGCGGCAAAAGGCTTGAGCTTAAGTGAACGTCGGGGTCTGCAGCGCAGCATAACGCCCGCCCGCCCGCACCATAGTCGTCCAGGCGAGCGACGAGCGCAGTGAGCTGTCTGGCTCGCAGGCCTATGCATTTTCTCATTGCAGTGTGTATATACATAGGGCGTATTCAGGGTTCCTTGCCGTTTCACCTGTCGTTTGATCGCTTTCGCCCAGGATAGCATGACGACAGCTAATTCGCTCGCAGCACAGACATACTTTCCATACCTGGTGCAGACTGACTGGCTCGGACACCAACGCAAACACCACAGCTCGCATATACAGAATTCTTTTTTTGTTGACCTGTTGCATCTTTCGGCCACCGAACTTGCAAATCTCACTCTTCACCTCTTCTCACGACATACGCTATCGCCGAAACTTGCACGAACAGTATTCTGGATGCCAATCCACCGATCATGGACCTCAGGTACCGACTCCACGTCTGGCAGTTCGTGCCCTGGCGACTCCGCCGCTTGCCGAGTGGTGAAGGGTGATCACACCAACAAAAGAGGGCGTCCGGATTTCGCTGCGTTCGTGGCCAGGAATCCACCACCCCAGTCGACCAATTTAGCAACACAGAACAGCATCCTTCATGTCGGCTTAGTAAAGACCCATGGAGGCCGATGTCTACCCTCTGCTCTTGAATTCGCTCCTGTCGAAGTCGGCAACGTCGTCTTCCATTTCCCATTACCACCATCGTCATCTGCATCGTCAATGACTTCTGACACCGCCCCTGTCGGTAGTAGCGTCGTCACTGACCTCAAATTGAGCCTCGACGACCACAAGAGTATCGTCACGGTGGTGACCAGTGCTGCCCTGGACCCGCTTACTCCACCTCCCGACTACTCAACTCACGATCCATTCAAAGAAGAGCAACCGCGTGGAAGACAGATGACGACAACACCAGGCCTCTTCCGACGAGCTCTGTCCGAGCCCAAGGTCGCCGAGAATCCATGCCCATGTGGTCGCGATCGAAGTTCAAGCAACAGAAGACCTGGGTCAAAAGCAGGCAGAGAATCAATGCAAGCCTTGAAACAGCGACTAGACCAAATGGCTGCAGAGTCAGAAGACGATGCGCTCAAAGGCATTGATGCCGCACTAGCACTCAGGTTTGGGACAGAGAAGAAGAAAAAGAAGAAGAAACCAACGATCAAGGCCATCAGCTATCAGAGCGTATGTCCGACGGGACCAGAAAAGATCATCAGCTACCAGAGTCTTTGCCCTTCGGGTGAGCCGATCGACCGCGAGCCTGCGAAGAAGCCGACAGCTCTCAACGGCTTCCATCGACGACAGGCTGAACGTGAACGCCTCGAGAGCATCGACACAATGCGCGACCTCCCCATCGCCGCAGAATTCAAGCGCCGCGACTCCGAAATCGAACGCCTATTCGGCCACCACGAGCCACAGCCGCACCACCGCCGTTCACGTTCCTCAAAAGCAGACCGCATCCTCGGCGAATACGTCCCCCTCGACATCACCCCTTCCCCCTCCCGCCCCACAACCTCCTCCAACAAAGCCGACCGCCTGCTAGGAGAAATCGGCACCATCCGTTCCTCCCGCGAAGGCAGACCCAACATTCCCACCAGAGCTTCCACCGCAATCTCCGACTTCTCCGACACCCAAACCATGCGCAAACGCGCCAGCTCCGCGGCGACGAGACACATACGGAAAATCTCCAATCATGACGCCCAGACGTTGTGGAAGCCTTCGGATCTTTGGAGACCTACGGCACGCATTGATCGCTCTGCTACCGTGGCGAGTCGCACGAGTGTGACGATTAGTTCGGCGGCGCTCGCGAAGAAGTTGGGGGTTCCGATTAGTACTGATGTGGGACTGGAACGGTGTGTTTTTTTTTCTCAAATCAAATCAATGAGATGCGTGAGATGACTGACTGATTGATGTCTAGGGGCAATTGTTTGAGTCACGACATGGGAACTTTCGCTCATCATCAGGATTCTTCGGATCTTGAAGATCTTTATACGATTCTGCCGGAACTTGATAAGGCTTTTCCTTGGAGTGGTTCTTCTGGTGCTACTGCTGAGAGTGAGAAGGGAGGAGGTGGTGGTGGGGAGAATCCTGCATACGCTCTTAGGAAGATGGGACTTTTGTCTGAGACGAGGTATTAACTGACTTGACGAGGAACATGTTTGATTTATGATGTTTTTTTTTCTTTTTGGGCTTCTTGGTTTTTTTTTGTGTGTGTTTTTGAGATACCAGTGTACCACCAAATTGTGTATATGACACTTCAAGTTTCTTCTAGCCCGTGCCAAAAAATTCAAATCCCAAATCCGTCTCTTTTCCTTCAAGTCTTGTCTTCTCAACCATAAACCTTCTTCAATAATCCTCCAAAAACCCCCCAACATACCCCAAATTCCCAACCGCCGCCAACCCATACCCCGCCACATCATTCGTACTCAACCCCTCCACCTCATCCACCGGACTGAGCACCACACTCCCCTCCCACCGTCTCCTCTCCCAAACACCCGTAGAATTCAACCCATCACCCTCCAAAAACTCCCTCCAAGCCCTACGCGCCAACCCCCGATCCCCCGTCCTCCACGCCGCAAACGCCAAAAGTCTCGAATGATACTGTCCCAAACTCGCCTCCGCCCCCCAACTCTCTCCATACCTCGCCACCTGCTCCGCCGCAGGCGCACGGTAGAAATAACAGTACTCCAACCAAACCTCCTCGAACCCCGCCGGTAAATCCACGGGATCGAAGTGTTCGATGATATCCGCGATAACTTCCCCCAACCCGAACACCGCAGTTAAATGCGAAACTGCAACGATGCCCTTGGTATTGTTTGGGTCGGTAGGGGGAGGGGAGAGCGTGCCATCCGTAGAATCATACCATGCCGAACCCGTGACGAAGCCATTTTTCAACGTCGAGATTCCGGAAATCGTGTTGTGAAGCTTCCGCTTCGCTTCCTCCCAGCGTGGGCCGAGACGTTCGTATTCTATGAGCCAGGAAGCGGCCAGTGCGGACCAATCGGTTCCCAAACTGATCGGTGCACGTTTTGGTTCTTCCGAAGGGGGGGTGGTGGTTCGAACTTTGCGATTCGGGTCGAGGGTTTCGTAAGTTTGATCGACGTCGAGAGATTCTTGGAAAATCTCACCGATCCTTTCATCGCCGCCAGAGAGGTAGAAGAAAAATTTATGGAACTGAGAGTTGGAGATGCGGGCTTGTTTGGCCGAGTCGCTCCAGTGTTGGATTCCATGCCGGGTCCCGAGACCTTTCCATTTGCCGATGTGGTAGATGTCGACTTCGCTGGCATGGCGGGTTTCGGCTTCGGCGAAACGGTAGATGGCTGCGCGACCGGTGCGGAGGAAGGAGGTCCAGAAGAAGAGGGAGGGGGAGAGTTCGGAGTTGTCCCAGGCGTAGCCGCCGATGTCGTAGCGCCATGTGTGACGATCGGGGTCGTAGGTGTGCATGAAATCTCCGAAGTCGAGGAAGCCGTACCAGCGGCGTTGCTCGACTTGGTCTTGGTAGAATTGGTTGAGGAAGTTGAGGTTGCTTTCGATTCTGGCGGTCAACGCTGTAGGGTTGTTGCTTGGTGGTGCCCAGTATGTCCCGATCGCTTTTGTTGACGCGATATAGTCTGGCTCTGCGAATAGCACTGGGGGGTTGTTTGTATGCTCCGTCAAGGTGGACAGGTGGTCTTGAGAAGGAGTTTTGTCAAAAGCATAAATGAAGAGCTCGCTGGTTCGCGCGATCCCGTACGGCGTGTTAAAGCCGGGTTCGTAGTCCTCGTAGGTAATTTCAAGAGCGTCGAGCTGTTCCTCGTAGCTGTCCTGGCCTAGACCATCATGGTATGGACGAAGATCGAGAGGTTCTGCTGACGGACTATAGATCCACACGATGATCTCGCCATCGTCTGTCGCTGCATTCCTGATGTCCAAGCCAGTCGGATAGCGCTTCCAGAAGTCCCTCAATCCAACAGCAAGGCCACCTTGTGTTGCACCTCCCAGGTAGGCCAGCCCGCCAGATCTTGTCGATCCTGGTATCTTGACCCAGCTTTGTCCAGCTTTGGTGCGTTTGCGTAGAGTGAAGCCGTCTGGCGACAGCTGTGTCAGGCTGTAATCGTTCCAAGTCGGGACCCACTGCATTCTACTCGACACACGGGTGTCCCATGTGCTGATATCGGGTGTCTCCAGGCCCTCGAATTGAGCAGTTCTCACTTTCGAGCCAGGATCTTTGCGAAGCCCAGTGATGCCTTGGACAGCCTCGCTGAGCAGCCCACCGTCCACGCCTGCAAGTCGAATGTGGCGGTTGTAGTACTCCTCCCCAGCCAAAGGAACTTGGAATCTGATCCCAATACCTGCAATGAAGTCACTGTTTGCGTTGCCATCGTATACTAAGGAGTGAATAAGACGGATGGCGTCAGAGTTGGCGTAGAGGTAGAATCGAAGGATAAATGGTAGCCAGGGAATGTGATCGCCATTGGATGTCTCTGTATGATTGCCGCGGACAGTAATCAATGTTCTTGAGCTGCCTTGATCGACCGTCACATTGAATACGCTACTCTCGAAGTTGTAATAGGATATGTTATTCGCAGTCCTGGTCTGGATGTCGTTCGCAACGCCTGATTGGGAGTGCAAGACAAGTGATCCATTTTCACCCACTGTCTTGCCAGCTGCAGTAACGATACTCCTCAAGAAGACAGATCCAGTCTTCGCGAATGTAGCAGTGATCTTGCCTGTGTTCACAGAGACCTCGTTATCTGATTGCGCTACGATGATTGGGGAAGAGTGATTTCCAGAAGGTAAAGTTGTGCTGGCTGTAATTGTGTATTGGTCAGGGATCTCCTCAGACGCCGGAATAGCATGACCAGTCCATTTGATAGAGTCATCGGGCCAATACGCTGTGATCCATGACTGAAGGTCTCCCGCCGAAGAGAAGTGAGTGCTATTCGCATAGTGCTGGCCTCGCGCCCAAGGTAGTCCAAATGTCGTGCCTGCGTGATAGTCGGGAGACTGTCCAAGCCATTTGACGGTGATGCTTTGGGGGCTGCCGTTGCCAGTTTGTTGCGCAGAAGTGCAAGAGAAGAGTGAAGACAGCGCAAGATAGGCGAAGTAGTTGGGCAACATGATTTCTGCTGTGAGAGAATGACACACGAAGTGCCAAACCTGCTGCCAGCTCTCTCCATATGGAGATGGAGACTTACCTGCTATATGCACATCAATATCTGCATGTGTTTGATGCTGCCTCCACCCAGTCCTCGAAGCTCGGTGCCCCTGCTGGAGCCTTCAAGGTTGGCAGGCACCACGGTGCGGCTGATGAGGGGAGGTATTACCGTGCCAAGGTAAGCGTGCCTACCTAGGGTCCGTACGCGTCGTTCGCGAAGCCTACTAATTAGTTAGTAAACCCGAACACCGAGTAGCTGCAATCAATCGTATTATTACTAGCATGCTTGTCGTCGCTTTTTTAATAGTATAGCCGTTCTTAGGTATTGTTTAGTCGCCTAGAATAGCGTATACGGCTTAGAAACACGCGCTCCTATACCGCACGCGTATACTAGAGGATCAGATCACCTTCATTAAAGATCTATAGGTAGAAGGCTATTCTAATCGTAGTATCGTACGAAAGACTCGTATTAGTAGGCGCGCCGTCGATACCCTAAGGATTAATATTATACTATTTAGCGAGCTATATCTATAGTAGGCGAGGAAAGGACTGTCTCGAGCCCTTACTTTAGCGTAGGAGGTACGTATAATCGACTATTACTTAGAGTGTATGTCTAGGTATTAGAGTCTATTACGTACCTAATACCTAAGGCTATAACTACTATACTTTATCTTCGGACTTCTATATAGATTAGTCCTTCTTCTAATACATTAGTTACATTAAGTAGTTATAAGCCCCCTGCGTTTCTAACGCATTCTATACGTGTTCTAATAGTTAATCCGACTGCTGCGTAGCTAGCGCTCGTTACTAAAAATTGCGCCGATACTAATACTATCGCTACCGCCGCTCTCGAGTATTCTAGTAGGTACTAGACTCGAGTCGGTTACTGTTAGTGTTAGCTGTCCGCTATACCCGTTCCTAACATTAGTGTTAGCTGTCCGCTATACTAAAATATAGGCGCGCCTGTCGGCCGCCCCTTAAGACAAGTTTATAGTCTCTTTTTATATCGCCGTCGCTGTCCGTAATAGCTCCCCCTATAACTACTAACGCTTATATAAGCAATATCCCTAAGCTAAAGAACAAGGAGAATTATCTAGTATAGGCCTATACCGCTAAGGGTGCCCTTAAAGGTATGTCGGTGTAGCGCTATATATAAGGTACCTACTAGCGACCCCTTTCTAAGACCTCTAGTAAGTCTTCTAAGGAGTTTAAAGACCGCTAAGATAAATAGGACTCTAAAGATCAAACGGCACGTACCTAGATCTTTGCTAATTGTATTAGTAACATTTAACAATTACTGCTTAGTCTGTCTATATCCTAGGAAGTATAGGACTTCCTTAAGAAGAAATACACTAGTAAAGGTAGGTCTACTAAATTTATGCTCTACTAGGAATACATTACCCTTCGCTACGATAGCAAGGACGTTAAGAAGTTCTATAATAAGTATAAGAAGAAGCTTAGTGCCTTAAAGGACACTAAATTAGCTATTAGCTAATATTAGGCTATCTATATGTTTATTATACAAATTGCACCGTTCTACGAGGCTTTCGTATAGATGCGCCGAGAGCAAATGCGAGCCTTAGAATACACTATTAATAACAGCACCCTTAACAATATTATTAGCGCGTTACTTAATAAGAATATAGCTTAACTAAACTAGGCCTAATATAATAGCTTCTTCGGTCTTTAACGCTAACTATAATAGTAAGGTAGCAATAGTAACGGTCGAGGTAACTCGAACCGTAGCGGTCGTAGTAGCCGCGGAAGCAGCAATAGTCGTAGTCGTAGTAGAAACAACTAGAATAGTCAAAATCGCGAGAAGTGCTTATACTATTAAGGCACTTACCCTTCCGACCGCTGCTATACTAAATACCCTTATCTAAAGGAGGAAGATCGACTACGTTATAAATAGTAGAAGGCTAAGAAGAAGGGGGTATAGCAGTAGCAGCGTGGACTAGCTACTTAGTAATAGCAGCAGCCGCTATCTAGCTAAAATAGTGCTTAGAGGCTGTATGCGGCTAATGCTATCCCGGGGGTATTATTAGGCCTAAGCGACAATTACGCCTTTACTGCAAATACTATAGTTACTGTTAGCGACTAGGTGTCTACGGCTCTTACTACTAGCACTCGGACTACTAATTAGGTTGTCGACTTAGGTACTAGTATACATATAGTTAACGATCCCTTACTGCTTATTAAATATAAAGGCTGCTACATTCCCGTCCGGTTTAGTAGCAATACGAAGCACGCTACGATAGTTAGTATAGCTTAGACTAAGGTTGTTAATAAGCGTAGTGTTAGCAATATAAAGCTGTCTAATACGCTATATGTTCTAGGTCTAGCAGCTAACCTTCTATCTACTAAGAAGCTTGCCGACAAGGGTTGTTTCTACCGAAATAATAAGCGTATCCTGTTTATAATAGTAGAGGGCAATAAGGTTACTATCGCTTAGACATACTATAAGAATAGTCTTCCCTACCTCTATATACTAGCCTCTAGTCTAGATAGTAAAGTAGTTGCCCTTCTATCGAAGAAGGGGATGCCTACAGGCACTATAGATAAGTAGTATCTGCGATATAGCTATATTCATTACCGCAAGCTGCTAAGAATAGAGTCTAAGGGTTAGATTGTTATTACTAGTGCTAAGAAGGACTTCCGCAACTGCATTGCCTGTCGTATAGCTATACCACATAAGGAATACAATCGGCTGCTACGCGTGCGACTATCTACGATCTATTACATTGTCTATATAGATATAGTTACTATTACTAACTCTAGTCTATTATAGGAACGCTACTTTACGCTATTTATATGCGCTAAGTTAGGCTATCGTTACGAGTATGCTAGCCTACTCAAGTTAGGGGCTATAGTAGCTATTAAGGAACATCGTATATACGTCCGTATATAGACTAGTTGCTCGATCCCGATCTACCGACTCGATAGAGGGGGTAAATACGGCGGAAATTAGCTATTAAATTAGGCTCGAGACGAGGGCATTATACTACAGGTTATAGCTCCTCATTCTTCTACTTAGAATAGCCTTGCTAAGGTTAGCAATCACATCGTATATACGACTGCGAGAAAGATAATGCTATAGGCCAACCTTCCTAAGTTCCTATAGCTATATGCTATTGCCTCCGCTATATAGGTCCTTAATATTACGCTAACCGCTAACGGAGGAAGCCTATATACTATTATCGCTAAGGAGCTTAATTAGTTACGAATATAGCCGCGTCTTTAGCACCTTCGAGCGTATAGCTGTACGTTAATTGCCTACGATTACAGTGTTGCTCGTAGAAAGAAGATAGATAGTAGAGGCCTAGTTAGTAAGCTAGTTAGCTATGCCAAGGGCTCTATAGACTCTAGAAAGTACATAATCTACCTGCCTAATTAACACAAGGTTATCGCTTCTAAGGATGTTCAGTTTATTAAGTTAGATAGTAACCTTCTGCTTCTAAATAGCATAGATCTATATACTAACCCTAATAACTCTTCTAAAAGCGAGTTTATTAGTATTAAGTCTATTATACCGGCTCTGTTTAATGCTATAAGCAACGAGCCTCCGCCCCTATTAGAAGCCGCTAGTATAGTCTAGCAACTTCTAGCTTAGTAAGAAGAACAACCTCTAGAAGGGCTAGTATAGGACTTAGCCGACGAGGTTGTTAGTCTATTGCTAATCGAGGACGACCTTCTAGACGTTCAACTACTAGCTTCGAGTAATAAAGATAGCTTCTAATTAGCTAAGGAAGATCAAGCTCCGCCCTTTAATCTAAATGCGAAGAAGGGTAAGCCTAGCTAGTTGCTAGAGTTTAAGCGACCTAATACGACAGGCGCTCGTTCTACCCGTATAACCCGTAGTAACAAGTTAGCTCGTAACCTGTTACGTAGCTATCTAGCTAATTGTAGTATTAAGCGGTCGACTCGACGTATAATAGCTAATATACCGATAGCCTATATAAAGGGCTTTATAGCTTCCGCCTACATTGCTAAATAGCCTAATAAGCCTAAGGACACTATTCCTATTCCGAAGAGCTATAAGGAGGCAACTTAGTCGCTATACTAGCTACAATAGAAGGAGGCCTATAAGGCTAAATACAAGTTACTAATCGACAACTATATATAGGTCTATATATCTCGGTTAGAGGTGCTAGAAGGTCGTAAGGTTGTCTATAGCCGATAGGTGTTTACTATTAAGCGTAACGCTAATAGCAAGGTAAGCCGGTTTAAGGCTCGATAGGTCGTCCGTAGTTTTATACAGGTTAAAGGATAGGACTATAATAAGACCTATACGGCTATAGCTAAGCCGTCTACGCTACGAGTACTATTTGCACTAATCGCTTATTACGACCTAGAGGCTAAGCAGTACGATATTCTAACGGCCTTCCTTAATGCGCTTATCGGAGATAAGTATAAGATCTACGTCGAACAGCTACACAGTTTTAAGGACCGTAGTAGAAAGGGCATAGTTTGCCTATTACTAAAGGCACTATATAGTCTGAAACAGTCGCTAATACTATAGTACGAAGAGCTTCGAAAGTACTTAAAGAGCCTAGACTTTATACCGATAATAGCTAATGTGTATGTGTTTAAACACGTCGTTAGCGGCTCTATTATTGTTATCTATGTCGACGACATAATTATTATCGCCTATAGCCTATTAGCACTAGAAGCAGTTGCTTAGTTGCTAAAGGACCGTTTTAATATACGAGAACTAGGCGACCTACACTACTATCTCGGCATGCGAATCATCCGTAACCGCGGTTAGCGCACTATTTACGTCGTTTAAGATGCCTATTTAAATAGGCTTAGTAAGAAATATAGTATACGTAGCCGTATCGGTCTAGCTACTCTAATAGCGCCTCGCTATATTAAGACGTCTATTTAACGCGCACCTAAGGGCTATATAGCTAGTGCCGCCTTTAAGACTTAGTATTAAGAAGGTGTTAGTAAGGCACTATAGCTAGCTATAATTATACGACCTAATGCTTGCTACGCTATAGGCCTATTATTACGATTTATCTC